ACCCCTATGTTCATAGCAGTGCCATTTACAATAGCTAAGATCTGGAAATAGCCCATGTCCACCAGCAGATGAGTGGATAAAAAAGAGCTGGTACATTTACACCTTGGAATACTATGCAACTATAAAAAAGAAGGATCCTTTACCCTTTGGGACAGCATGGATGGACCTGTAGTGCATTTTCCTAAGCAAAATAAGCCAGTCAGAGAAAGACAAGTATCACATGATCGATCTTATTTATATGTGAAATCTAATGAACAAAATAAACTGATGAACAAAATAGATCCAGAGACATAAAAACATGGAACAGATTGAGATACCTCAGAGGGAAGATGGGGGTTGGTGAGTGGGTGGGGAGAGATCAATCAAAGAACTTATATGCATAAATGCATAACCCTTGGACACAGAGAATAGTGTGGAGAAGGCCTCGGTGGTGGATACAGGGTGGAGATCCATGGGGGGGTTTGGCAGGGGGGGGAGGGATATCTGTAATACTTTCAACCATAAAGATAAATTTTAAATAAGTGTCATGATGGTAAATAAGAAAGTGAATACGCAGAAAAACTGTACGAAAATACTTTCAAAATATAGTATCTTAAATAAAATTGTTCAAGAAACTGACTCTTAGATACAGAGAACTGATGGTCGCTCAATTAGGGAGGCTGGGGGAATGGGTGAAAAAAGGGAAGGGATTAAGAGGTATAAATTCGTGGTTATAAAATAGTTATGGAGATGTAAAGTACAGCATAGAGAATACAGTCAATAATATAATAACTATGTACGGTGCCAGGTAGGTGCTGGAAATATTGGGAGGACTACTATGTGAAGTGTATGACTGTCTGACCACTGTGCTGTACATGTGACATTAATACAATATTAAATGTAAACTATAATTTAAAGTTTAAAAAATTAAAAAAAAAAAAAGATTTAGTGATGGAAAGTGGGAAACCTACTGTACAATGGCCAGAGAGTGCACAGCAGGGTTAAAGGAGGCTTTTTTTTCCTTTCTTCTTTTTAGGCTGAGAAAAAACTGTGGGTGTTTGAAAGCTGAGGATGGGTGCTGCCAACAGACGAGCAGGCTGGTGATGAACATGCTCTAAAACATTGTGGTGATGGCTGCACAACTCTGTGACTAAACTAAAGCCACGGAATTGTCACTTTCAGTGGGTGAATTGCATTGTGTGTGAATTATATGTCAAAAGAGCTGTTTTTAAAAAAACTGTTCATACTGCTATAAGTTTTAATGATATGTAAATATGACTACAGGCATACCTTGTTTCATTGCACTATGCTTTATTACACTTCAGAGATATTGTTTATTTTACAAACTGAAGGTTGGTGGCAACCCTGCAACAAGCAAGTCTATTGGGGCCTTTTTTCCAACAGCATTTGCTCACTTTGGGTCTCTGTCACATTTTGGTAATTCTCACAGTATTTCAAACTTTTCATTTTTATTATGTATGTTATGATGATCTGTAATCTTTTGAGAAATTTTTTGTGAAAGGAAGAGTCAATCCATGTGGCAAACTTTATGGCTGTCCTATTTTAAGAAATTGTCACATCCACCTCAACCTTCAGCAACCACCACTTGATCAGTCAGCAGCCATCAATGTCAAGGCAAGACCCTCCACCAGCAAGAAAGACATGTTGAAGGCTCAGATGATGGTCAGCATTTTTAAGCAATAAAAGTAGTGTTAATTAATATGTATATTGTTTTTTAGACATAACGTTATTGCACACTTAACAGACTACAGCAGTGATTTTCAACCATGTGCCACAGTCCCAAAGAGGCACACTAGTGTGCTGCAAGAATTTTTAAAACATGCAATACCTGACTTTTAGTCAGTGGTACTGACCTCTTTTCCCTTATATTGAAGAAAAAAAAAATGAAAAGAGCCAACACAACAATAACTGTCTGGTGCGAATAAATCAAAATTATACCTATTTTTTTTCTGTCAGATCAGCAAAAAATGTAATTATTTTTTTGGTGTGCTGCAGAATTTTAGTAATTAGTTTATGTGTGCCATAAGATGAAAGAGATTGAAACTCACTGGACTACAGTATAGTGTAAACACAGCTTTTATATGCACTGGGAAACCAAAATATTCTTGTGACTTGCTTTACTGAGATATTTACTTTATTAAGGTGGTCTGGAACTGAACTGGCAATATCTCTGAAGTATGCCTGTATTAGAAAATTAATAAAACAAACTTCAATTGAAACATGATGGATTAAAATATACTTATTTGCTGGCTGGAGTGGCTCAGTGGTTGAGCATAGAGCTATGATCCAGGAGATTGAAGTTTGATTCCTGGTCAGGGCACATGCCTGGGCTGTGGGCTGGATCCTCTGTAGGGGGCCTGCAGGAGGCAGCCGATCAATGATGACGCTCTCATCATTGATGTTTCTATCTCTTTCTCCCTCCCCCTTTCTCTCTCTGAAATCAATAAAAGCATATTAAATTATATATATATACTTATTTACCTAGGCTACCTAAACAAAAACCCTACAAGGACAAAGAGAACTGGAGAGGACAGTAGATAATTACCAAAATTTTGGAAGGTAAAAATTTGTTGGACAAATGGTAAATAACAAAGAGGCTCAAGAATAATTACAGTTAACAAAAATAGCAAACATTCATAGGGCACTTACTGTGGTGCCAACACACAGTGTTAGTGTTTTATATATATTAACATTTAATCTTCACAACAACCCTAAGACTTATTTCCATTTTACAGGTGACAAAACTGAAATATAAGGGAAATTACATAACCTAGCCAAGATTACTCATGTAGCAAACTTGTTATGAAGCCAATCGGAAACAAAATAATTTAAGGAAACTGAAGGCAACAGATTCCTCTGCAGGCAGGAGCTGAAAACAGGAGGAATGGTTAAAATTTTGTATGAAGACCTCAGATACAGAGCAACAAGGTGATTGTTCTTCCTTCCTCTGGGTTCAAAAAGAACAGGAGAGCTTACTTTCTGGAAAGGCTGAACCATACATATCCTGGACTCCAGATCACCAGGCAGAAGTAGCTAGAATGCAGATGAGATGCTATATTGAAAACAGAAATGCAATGAAAACCCTTACTAAGTTCAGCTCTCAGAACAGTCACTGATATTTGAGGGTCTCCTAATGAAAAAAATCAAATCCCTGCCTGGACAGTGTGGCTCAGCAGTTGAGCACTGACCTATGATCCAGGAGATCGGAGTTCAATCCCTAGGTAGAGGAATGCAGGAGGCAGCCAAGCAATGACTCTCTCTCATCACTGATGTTTCTAGCTCTCTCTCCCTCTCCCTTCCTCTCTCTGAAATCAATAAATATTTAAAAAAAAAAAATCAAATCCCCATCTTACCACTCTACAAGTTGACAAGCCCCACCTCACAGAGAGCTCATTGGCACCCCTCTCTTGAAGAGGAAAGAAGAGCTAATAATCACCAGTTGAGGAAAGTATCCAACCTGAGACCCAAACAAGAAAAGAGGTTCTCATAGGAAATAAAAAAATGCAAGGAGCAGAAAAAACTAAAATAAATCAAGTTTCAAAAAGATGAGAAGATACTGAATCTATGAAACAAGAACCAGATGTCATAAAAAAAAGAAGAAAAACATTTAGGGAATAATAAAAGTCTCTTGAAAATTAAATATTATGCCAATAGGCACAAATTCACTTTAGGGATTAAAAGGTAAAATTAAGAACTAGAAACTGGGGGGATGGGAGAGACAACAAAATGGAAGATAGGAGGAAAAAACAATAAAATGAGAGGAACTAGTGCCTAAATACTAACTATCAGGATTAAAAGAAAAAAAAACCAACAACAAAGGGAGAAAAGTAGGAGGGAAGAAATTATCAAAGAACTACTTCAAGAAAATTTCTCAGAACTCAATGAAGGACATGTTTATAGATCGACTGCCACTGTGTACCCAGCACAATAATTAAAAAGTAAGGCTGATCCAAAGTACATTATTATGAAACTTCAGAATGCTGGAGACAAATGATATTGAAAATGTCTTGGAAACAGATCTCATAGTGAAGGACTGGGAATAAGAATAGCACTGAACATAGCAGGAGCTACACTAGAAGCAAGAATAGAGGAAATACCTTCAAAATTTTGAAGAAATTATTTCAACCTCAAATTCTATATTTGACCAACCTTACAATATGATCAAAAAAGCTGCATGCTCCATTTCTCAAGAAGCCTCCGGAGGTTGTGTGTCCTTAAAACTAAAGAATAAATCTAGAAAAATATAAAATCCAGAAAATAGGGCTACTGACAAAAAAGAGGTGAAAATACTGTCCAGGAGGATACCTGTGCAGCATATATAGAAAATAACCACTTCAGAATAAAGTAGAAATATGGAGAGGTGCAAGAATCTTCAAGAAAAAGAAATAGAACTGATAAAGGTATTTTAACACATTGAGATGAGTTTTACATAGCTCCTGTGTAGGAATGAGTTGGTAGTAAGGACACAGAAAATTAAGAAAAACAAAAACAAAAAAAGCAAGACAGGAACTCCAGGGAAAGCAGTAAACTGTGAAAAAAAGGAAATGCAATCATAGTATATTTATATGCTGAGTTGCAAAAAATATTTTTCATAGTCATAATGTAAACATTGAATACAGACTTCACCCCTCTTTTGCAGCAAGAATCTAATAAATGTCTAAACTTAAGGAGAGAAGACATATAATCAAAAGAACAGCCAAAGGGATATGCAGTGGTTGCCTCTGTGGGGCATGAATAGGGGGTCCAGCAGGGTTGCATCAGTGAATGCTTTTTTGGGAGATCATGAGCCTTATACAGTCATGCATCACTTAACGGGGATATGCTATGAGAAGTGTGTGGGAGGAATCTACCACTTACACGGAGATTATGAGTATATTTTCAAGAAACAGAGTATCCTTGACAGGCATAAGTATACTTAAAATTCTAAATGTAAAACCTTTTTAGAGTTTAAATGAATCAGTGACTGATTTTTATCAAGAAAGTGCACTAATTTAACTTACCTTTAGCATAAGAGATTCTGGGGCTTCAAGAGGTGCACAGGCATCAGGAGAGCCCACCAGTTCTGCTCCGTGAGTAATGATCTTCTGACCAACAGCAAGTCTACCTTTCTGTATGAGAGCTGAGAGGGGAGGGTCCAGCTGGGCCTTCACAGCGTACCATCCGTCTGTCAGTTCCACAATGGCTGCTTTGCTGGTATCCACACCACTAGTTTTACTGCTAGAAGTTTCAGGTAGACTTGTGCTTGGTGAAAGTATTTCAGAAACACAGAGAACAAGTGTTCTTGCAGCTGTGTCATCCCTTTCCATTATCTTTTTTATAGCAGATCTTTGGCTTCTATCAATTTCAATATCATACCTAAAAAGAAAAAGAAGTCCCAGCTGGTTTTGCTCAGTGGTTAAAAAATCGGCCTGTGGACTGAAGGGTCTCAGGTTTGATTCCAGCCATGGGCACATACCTCGGTTGCAGATTCAATCCACAGGCACGTTTGGGCCAACTGTGGGAGGTAATCCAACTATCTTTCTCACATTGAAGTTTTGCTTTCTCTCTCTCTCTCTCTCTCTTTCTCTCTCTCTCTCTTCCTCTCCCTCTCCCCCTTCTTTCTCTCTCTCTCCCCCTCCCTCCCTTCCACTCTCTCTGAAAAGCAATGGATAAAATATCCTTGGGTGAGGATTAAAAAATAATAAATAAAAAATAAAGAAAAAGAAAATGAGTTATTTTAGGAATTGTGAGTACAATTTTCATGTAAAAATAATCAACAAATAATTGAAAATAAAAATTTAATACCTTTATTGAAGAAATACTGAGACAGAAGAGAATTTAAAATTTGGTAGCTGCCCTAGCCAGTTTGGCTCAGTGGTTAGAGAGTTGGCCAGCGGACTAAAGGGTCTGGAGTTCAATTCCGGACAAGGACACGCACCTTGCTTGCAGGCTTGATCCCTGACCCCCGTCGGGTAGGTGTGGGAGACAACCAATCAATGTGTCTTTCTCACATCAATGTTTCTCTTTCTCTCTCTCCCCCTTCCACTCTCTCTGAAAAAGCAAAAGAAAAAATATCCTCAGGTGAGGATGGTGGCAGACTGAGTGGAAGCTACACTGACACTCTCCCGGGACCAATCTGAATTTACAACTAAGATATAGGAAAAAACATCCTGAAAATCAACTGAAGACTAGCTGGAAAGCACCTTCATAACCAAGGAGAAAAAGTGGAAACCACAAAGAGACTGGTAGGAAGTGCAGATGAGAGAGGGCTGGCTGTGCTCCCACAGGCAGCAACTGAAGGTCCGGAGAAATATCTCAGTTGTGGGGGGTACCTACTGAGGACTCTGGAGCCTAAAACCCCAGCCAAGAGCACCAGAACTGAGAAGGGCGCCCACATAGCATCTGGTTATGAAAAGTAGCCAGGTTTCTGTCTGCTAGGGAGAAGCGGCTGGAACTGCAAGCACTCTCTTAAAGAGCCAATACACAAAGCTTCGTGTGCAGCCACTCACCCTGGGCTCCAGTGGATGGGGGGCGGAGTGGACTGAAGCTATGTGGGGAGAATCTGGGTTGTGGGCCCTGGAAGGTGAGATCAGAGGATGCCCCTCTGGATTCCTGTGCTGTCATTCCCCCAGGCTATGGAGAACATCTTTCTCTGGTGGAAAACTTTTCGCTTTTGCCTGAGGGTGGGGGGAGGCAAAAAGCCCTATCCAGAGGAGTTTCTACAGCCTGAGGCTTGTTAAGAGAATCAGATTAACCAGCCTGCAGGCAGAGTGCTCTGAGTGCTCTGAGTCTTTGCCTAATCTGCCTCGGGACCAGGGCCTTAGAAAAGGAGACTTGGTATGCTTCTTGGTCTTGTCCAAATGCACCCAGCCCCAGCAGAGGAGACCTCAAGCCAAGGGTTGTTAATAGCTCCAAACAGGGTACTCAGGGCCCGTCATAAAAGGCGTCTGACATTGGTCTGCACCAGAGACCCTCCAAAAAGACCGAGAGTCCTAGCAGCTCTACCTAATACTTAGAAACAAACCCAAAAACATAGCCAAAATGGGGAGACCAAAAACAAGCCACAAATGAAAGAACAAGAAAAGTCTCCAGAAAAAGAGTTAAATGAAATGGAGATAAGCAATCTATCAGATATACAGTTCAGAATACTGATTATAAGGATGCTCAACAGCATGAAAAAAGATATGGAAACTTTGAAGAAAATTAAGAATGACATAGTAGAAATAAGGAATACATTGGAAGGAATAAACAGTAGATTAGAGGAAGCTGAGGATTGGATCAGTGAACTAGAAGACAGGGTAGAAAAAAATCAATCAGAGACCCAAAACTAAAAAACACCTAAAAACCAGGAGGACAGTCTAAAGGAGCTGTGGGACAACATGAAACGTAACAATATCCACATTATAGGAATGCCAGAGAAGGTCGAAAGTAAGCAAGGGTTAGAGAACCTGATGAAATAATGGCGGAAAACTTCCCTAACCTGGACAAGGAAAAAGTCACACAAGTTCAGGAGGCACAGAGAGTCCCAAGTAAGAAGAATCCAAAGATACTCACACCGAGACATATTATCATTAAAATGCCAAGAATTCAAGACAAAGAGATAATCTTAAAGGCAGCTAGAGAAAACCAATCTGTTACCAACAAAGGAGTGCCCATAAGGCTGTCATCTGACTTCTCATCAGAAACTCTAGAGGCCAGAAGGAAATGGCATGAAGTATTCAAGGTAAAGCAAAACTAGGTTTTGAAACCAAGACTACTCTATCCAGCAAGATTATCATTCAAGATAGCGAAATAAAGAGCTTCTCAAACAAAAGGAGGCTACAGGAGTTTATCGCCACAAAACCAGCATTATAGGAAATGTTAAAGGATCTGCTGTAATTAGAAGTAGAAACAGAAAGAATGAGAAACACAGGCATCAAGAAATAAAATGGCAGTAAATATCTTTCAATAATTACCTTAAATGTAAATGGATTAAATGCCCCAATAAAAAGATATAGGGTAGCTGAATAGATAAGAAAACATGACCCAAATATATGTTGTCTAAAAGAGATCCATGTCAAAACAAAAGACTCACACAGAATGAGAGCAAAGGGATGAAAAAAAATTTTCCATGAAAATGGGAATGAAAAAAAAGCTTGGGTAGCAATACTCACATCAGACAAAATAGACTTCAAAATGAAGACCATAATGAGAGACAAGAAAAGTCATTATATAATACTAAAGGGGTTGATCCAACAAGAGGATATAACCCTGATAAATATATATGCACCCAATATAGGAGCATCTAAATTTATTAAAAAAACTTCTAGAAGGCTTTAAGGGAAAGATCGACAGCAATACAATCATACTAGGGAACTTTAACACCCCACTGACTTCACTGGATAGGTCTTCCAGACAAAAAGTCAACAAAAAAACAGTGACTCTAAATGACACACTAGATCAGATGGATTTAATTAATATTTATAGAACATTCCACCCCAAAGCTGCAGAATATACATTCTTCTCAAGTGCACATGGGACATTTTCAAAGCTAGATCACATGTTAGGACACAAAACACGTCTCTACAAGTTCAAAAAGACTGAAATCGTATCAAGCATCTTCTTGGATCAAAATGGCATGAAACTATAAATCAACAACAGTAAAAACACTTTGAAATATTCAAACACATGGAGGGTAAATAGCACGTTAGTAAACAATGAATGGGTTACCAGGAAGAAATAAAAACTTCCTGGAAACTAATGAAAATGAATACACAACAACCCAAAATCTATGGGACACAGAGAAAGCAGTCTTCAGAGTGACGTTCACAGCACTACAGGCCTACTTCAAAAAACAAGAAAAACTTCAAGTAGATTCTCTAACCCTACAACTTAAAAATTTAGAGAACAAGAAAAGCCCAGAGTAACTGGAAGGAAGGAAATAATAAAGATCAGATGAGAAATAAACGATATAGAGGCGAAATAAACAATACAAAGATCAATGAAACCAAGAGCTGGTTCTTTGAAAATATAAACAAGATGGATGAACCTTTAGCCACTCTCATTAAGAAACATAGAGGACTCAAATTAACAGGATCAGAAATGAAAGAGGTGAAATAACAAATGACCCAAGAGAAATACAAAGGACTGTAACAAAATACTATTGCCACCAAGCTAGAAAACCTGGATGAAATGGACAAATTCCTAGAACTCAAACTTCCAAATGGACAAACTTCCAAAACTCAACCAGGAAGAGTCAGAAAACCTGAATAGGCTGGTAACTGCTGATGAAGTTGAAGCAGTAATCAAAGGGCTCTCAGCACGCAAAAACCCTGGCCCAGATGGCTTGACAGAAGAGTTTTATCAAACATAAAAAGAAGAATTAACACCTACCCTCCTCAAAGTATTTAAAAAACTCCAAGAGTGAGGAACACTTCCAAGCTCTTTTCACAAGGCCAGCATTAGCCTAATTCCAAAACCAAATAAAGACACTAAAAAGAAAAAATGACAGGCCAATAAACCTGATGAACATAGATGCTAAAATCCTCAACAAAATATTAGCAAATCAGATCCAGCAATATATTAAAAAGATCATACACCATGACCAAGTGGGATTTATTCCAGGGATGCAAGGCTGGTACAATATTTGCAAATCAATAAACGTGATACATCACATAAACATATTGAAAGTCAAAAATCACATGATCATATCAATAGATGCAGAAAAAGCATTTGATAAAACCTAACACCCGTTTTTGATAAAAACTCTCAGCAAAGTGGGAATAGAAGGATCATACCTCAACATAATAAAGGCCATATATGACAAACCTACAGCCAACATCATACTCAGTGGGCAAAAACTAAAACCATTTCCCCTAAGAACAGGAATAAGACAGGGGTGTCCACTTTCACCACTCTTATTCAACATGGTACTGGAAGTCCTAGGCACAGCAATCAGACAAGAAGAAAACATAAAAGGCATCCAAATTGGAAAAGAAGAAACAAAACTGTCATTATTTGCAGATGACATGATACTGTACATGGAAATTCCTAAAGACTCTACCAAAAAAACTACTAGATTTAATCAATGAATTCAGCAAGGTAGCAGGATACAAAATCAACACCCAGAAATTGATGGCATTTTTATACAACAATAAAGAACTCTCAGAAAGAGAAACTAAAAAAATAATACCATTTACCACTGAAACTAAAAAAATAAGATACCTAGGAATAAACATAACCAAAGCTGTAAAAGACCTTTCCTCGGAAAACTACAGGACACTGAAAAAAGAAATAGAGGAAGATATAAACAAATGGGAAAATATATCATGTTCATGGATTGGAAGAATTAACATCATTAAAATGTCCATCCTATCCAATGCAATCTATAAATTCAATGCAATCCCTATCAAAATACCAACAGCACATTTCACAGATCTAGAACAAACACTTCGAAAACTTATATGGAACCAAAAAAGACCCTGAATAGACACAGCAATCTTGAGAAAGAAGAACAAAGTTGGAGGGATCACAATATCAGATACCAAACTATACGACAAAGCCACTGTAATCAAAACAGCCTGGTACTGGCACAAGAACAGACATACAGATCAGTGGAACAGAACAGAGAACCCAGAAATTGACCCACACCACTATAGTCAATTAATACTTGACAAAGGAGTCAAGAACATACAGTAAAGACAGTCTCTTCAATAAACTGTGCTGGGAAAATTGGACAGGTGCATGTAAAAAAATGAAACTAGACTACCAACTTACACCATACACAAAAATAAACTCAAAATGGATAAAAGACTTAAATGTAAGACATGAAACCATAAAAATCCTACAGGAAAACATAGGCAGCAAAATTCAGACATCTCTCGTAGCAGTATATTTGCCAATACATCTCCTAAGGCAAGAGAAACAAAGGAGAAGATAAACAAATGCGTCTGCATCAAAATAAAAACCCTCTGCACAGCAAAAGAAACCATCAACAGAAGGAAAAGGAAGCCCCTTGTATGGGAGAACATATTTGCCAATGACAGATCTGATAAAAGAGTTAATATCCAAAATATATAAGGCACTCATACAACTTAACAAAAGGAAGACAAACAATCCAATTATAAATGGGCAAAGAACCTAAATAGACACTTTTCCAAAAGGACATACAGATGGTCAAAAGACATGAAAAAATGCCCAAAGTCACTAATCATCAGAGAGGTGTAAATTAAAACCACAATGAGGTTATCATTTCACACCTGTCAGAATGCCTACCATCAACAAATCAACGAACAACAAGTGCTGGTGAGGGTGTGGAGAAAATGGGACCCTAGTACATTGCTGGTGGGAATGCAGACTCGTGCAGCCATTATGGAAAGCAGTATGAAATTTTCTCAAAAAATTAAAAACTGACCTGCCATTTGACCCAATGATCTCACTTCTAGGAATATATCCTAAGAACCTTGAAACACTAATCAGAAAGAACTTATGCACCCCTATGTTCATAGCAGCACAATTTATAATAGCTAAGATCTGGAAACAGCCCAAGTGCCCATCAGTAGATAAGTGGGTAATAAAAAAGCTGTGGGACACTTACACCATGGAATACTACGCAGCTGTAAAAAAGAAGGATCTTTTATCCTTTGGCACAGCATGGAGGGAACTGGAGAGTATTATGCTAAGTGAAATAAGCCAGTCTGAGAAAGACGAGTACCCCATGATCTCACTTATCTGTGGAATGTAATAAACAAAATAAACTGATGAACAAAATGGATCCATAGAGATAGAAACATGGAACAGACTGATGGATCTCAGAAGGAAGGTGGGGAAAGGGGAGTGGATGGGGATAGATTAATCAAAGAACTTATATGTTTATAAGGATAACCCATGGACACAGAAATTGGTCTGGGGAAGGCCTGAGGGTGGGGTAGATATGGGGTGGAGGGGATCAATGAGGGTAAAAAGGGGACATCTGTAATATTTTCAACAATAAATATAAAGAAACATAAAAAAAGTGATGAATTCTACATTAAAACAACAACAAAATGAGTGATGAGAGTCACTGACTGGCTGTCTCCTGCATCTCTCCTGCTGGGGATCAAGCCCGCAACCTAGTCATGTGTCTTGATCGGGAAAAGAACCAAAAAAAAAAAAAAAAATTGGTAGTTAGCAATATATTAAATTTTTTGCTGTTAAATATGAATTAAATATTAAAACCACTTTTTTAGCAATCCCCAAAAAGTGGATCAAATTGGTAATTCCTATTCCAAGAAGTTAAGGAGATGGTGAGGGAAGGGGGAAGCAAGAGGTGTATAAATGTATGATTTCTCTTAATTGGGACCTGGGGGATGACAGGAGAACTTATTACTCCATACAACTGAATAACAGTGTGGGATGGAAAACTATCACCATCAGCTGGCTTGTGTTCCTCTATGACGTGAAGTCACAGACTGCATAGAAGTCTGAACCATACCCAGGATATGATTACATAATGTAATGCTTTACACTTGCCTGTATTTCAGTTGAAGAAGCACCCTTTCCGGGGTTAGGCATCTATTAGCAAATTTCTTAGGAAAGGCAAATTCCATAGATGCAAGTTTCCATATAATCCATCTATAATGATTATAGACCCAACCTCGAGAAATAAGCTTTGGATCCACACCTGGGGTGTCACACAGAGCCCTGAACAAAGAAGGTAGAATAATATAGTAAAAAAAAACCCTATATTATATACTAATAATATAGTATATATATTTACTATATAATATAGTAAAAAAACATAAGATAATATTAGATTCAGTAACCATTACTATTCTTTGCAAAAATCTATACTATACAAGGACACTCAATAAATTTTTATGAGTTAAAGCATAATCAATAAGCAACATAATTTTAGAAAATTATTTGATAAATATTAAAATATACTAATAAAAGTTCACTTAATGTATTAGTCAATACAATTATTTCACCTGGAAAATGAAATCCTTAATTTAAAATAATTGTATTTGAGATTACTTTTCTTATTAAAGAGACTGTTTTTAGAAATCACATAGGAACTTCCTTCTTTAGTCCTGATGCTACCCTCTCTGCTCAAATCTCAAACTCCTCTTCCTTTCCCATTCTCACTCTTAGTACTAAGGAAGCAGAAATAATCAAAAGAGAACTTCCATAAGCTTCCACCCTCACATATACCAACCCACCAGCATCTGTACCCTTTACTTTGTCTTCTCCTGCCTTTGGTACACAAGCTCCCAACCTTTCTTGCCTCGTCAAGGATATTGACCTAGAAAATGCCTTTTCTCTCCCCTGCATCATCAATTTTATTCCCCTCTACTGGATGATTTCCAGCAGCATAAAAAATAGTTTTTCTACCTTAAAACAAACAAACACAACAAAACTAACACCCTCTGATCCTACTTCCTTCTCTAGATACTGCCTTTTTCTCTGCTTCTCTTTTTGGCAATGCCTGAAAGAATGACTACATTCTCTCTTCAATTCCTCTTCTTTCACTGCGTTTTTATGGCATTCTGATCAGGCTTTTGCTCCATCAAACTACTGAATTATTTTATTAAGATTAGTGATGACCTCCATGTTGCTAAACCCAGCCATCAATCCTCAGTCCCCATCTTACATTACATATTAGTAGCACTGACATAGCTACTCTATTCCCCGAAGCTCCAACTTTCACTTGGTTTGCAACACATCACACTCTTTGGCATTTTTTTCTAACTTGAGATTGCTCTTTCTCAGTCTCTTTTCATGGTTTCATATTCCATCTATATCCTGACAACTCTCAAATTGATTTCTTTGGCCTATACTTTATCTATGAATTCTAACTGCCTACTCAACATCTCCACCTGCATGTCTACTTCTATCCTGAACTTCAAATGTCCCAAACTGAACTCTCAATTTCCGTTCTATCCTTAGTCTTCTCAATTTTCTGTACATGGTAACTATCCTTCCATGTGCTGCCAAAATCTTTGGAGCCATCCTCACTCTCCTTTTTCTCTCATATTCCTCAGCCAATCCTTGAGCAAATGCTCAAAGTGCCACCTTCAAAATATACCCAGAATCCAACTGCTTTTCACCAACTCGACTACACCTCCTTGGCCAGGGCAATTATTTTTCACCTGCATTACCTCAATAGCTTCCTAAACGGTCTCTCTGCTTCTACCCTTGCCCCTCCCTATAGTCTGATCCTAACAAGTAGCCAGTCATTCTTTCAAAAGTAAGCCAGATGATGTCACCTTCTGCTTTAAACATTCTAAGTGAAAACGATTACTGAGAGTAAAAGCCAATATTCTTACAAAGGTCTGTAAGGTCCTACCTCATCTACCACAACTCCTGCTATCCAGTCTACTCCAGTTACACTAAACTTCCTCCTGTTCCTCAGATAAGCTGGGGATACCGTCCCTACACTCCCTTGACATCCTTTAGGTCACTGATTGAATATCAGAGACCCAGTGAAGCCTCCTGACAATTACTTTATTTAAAAAACTGCACTTCTCCCCATCCAACTCTCCCTAACTCCCCTTTCCAGCTTCATTGTCATAGTATTTATTACCTCCTAATATATTACACAACTTATTATTTTTTAAATTTTTTTCCCACACTCTAGACTCCTTTACTTTTAAGGCAGAGATATTTTTATTTTGTTATTCCTAAGAGTTGGAATAGTATCTGGCACATGGTAGGTGCTCAATAAATATTTGTTGAATGATCCAAAAGACAACTCTTAAACATTATGAACCACGTCCACCTGATTATAGGGTCATCACTCTTTTTTTTTTTTTAAAATCCTCACCCGTGGGTATGTGTTTATTGATCTGAGAGAGAGAGAGAGGGGAACATTGATGCAAGAGAGAAACACTGATAGGTTGCCTCCCGTACGTGCCAGGAATGGGAATCAAACCCGCAACCCAGGTATGTGCTCTGACAGGGAATCAAATAACCTTCTGGTGTACAGAACGATGCTCCAACAAACTGAGCCAACGGCCAGGGCAACAGGGTCATCATTCTTAACCTGTACACAATGCAGTCTACTTTATACAACAAAATAATACAACTGTTTACCGTACTTTTCCAACTAGAATTAATAGCAGATTATTTGTTATGTGAGACAAGTGAAAGATGTAAATAACATTCCTGTTTTAAAATAACATAACAACATAATAATAAAACATAACAACATAACGAAACATTCCAATTTTGTAACAAAATACATAAAAAAAAGTTTAAGAAAAAATGTTTTATCGCTTGCTCAAAACTATAAATTTTGGAAAGATTTACAGAGATATTAAAAAATAAGGGGCCGTGGCAGGTATGGCTCAGTTGATTGGAGCATCGTCCCATGCACCAAAAGGCTGTGAGTGTGATTCCCGGTCAGGGCACATACCTAGGTTGAGGGTTCAATCCCTGGTTGGGGCACGTACAGAAGGCAGCCAATCAATGTTCTCTCTCTCTCTCTTCCATCCTCTCTCTCTAAAATCAATAAACATATCCTCAGGTGAGGGTTAAAAAATTTAAAAAAACAAGGGCACTACAGAAAGGTTTTCCATCTCTTGCCACTGGCATGAGGTAATACATCTCTTAGAGCAAAAACTTTATGTTTATATAAACCGAATCATAAGAGACTGTATAGTTTCTAAATTGTTGTTTTAGGCAGTGGTGTTTACTAATTTTTGGCATTACTTATATTTAAGTATTATGTTTAATTTTTAGTATTTGTATTTCATATTTATTGACATACACAATGAAAGAGAATATGTATGACATAACTATACATGTGTGGGGGTCTATGATAAGGCCAATTCAAATTTAACTTTTCTTATCTGTCTTTATTTTGTAAATGCATAAGAAAAATATCCCAATTTAAGAAAACCAATTCATTAAATCTTAAGACAAACCATAATTCCCTTTCAAAAAGATTTCAATAGAATGTCAATTGAACCACAATGCATTTAAAATGATTCCATGTAAAAAATTTTACTCCTAGCTAAATTTTTAAGTTCAAGAGAGATAAGGAAAGAGAAAAAAAGAGGAGCTTTTGAGGAAGAGGGATGACAGAATATATAAAAGTTGACACAAATCTCTTTTTGCACAGAATACCTATAAAATTCTTCTTTTCCAGCCTTCCCATCATTGGAGGGTATAAGCCATCCACCGTCAGCCAACTGTGTTCCCTTTCCAGCCATTGAACTTTCCTTACCAAAATAATCCTGAGTGTGAAACTGAAAAGACTCTGCATTTTTGCTGTTAATTTTTATGCAATGTTTAGAGATGCCATACATATACAGCTGCAGAAAAGTAGGAAAATTTGATAATGAATGAAAAACAAAAACAAACAAAAGAGCATGTTTTATAGACTAGAAACAATTGTAACAAATCAAAATTAAATTTACTCAAATTTTTCATTTAAACATTAAAATATTCACTATAAAAACATTTAACTTATTTACTAGAAGCTAAAATGCTGATGTACTATAAATGACCCCCACATTCAAGAGCCTGTTACAACTTTTTCATTCCCCTGTGTATACACCTCCTACTGTACCTGTTATCAGAAGTCACTATGGGGATAAAAAAGTAACTTAAGCCTGTCTGGCATGGCTCAGCGGTTGAGCATCAACCTATGATTCAGGAGATCACAGTTCAATTCCTGGTCTGGGCACACCCACATTTCAGGCTCAATCCCTGGTAGGGGATGTGCAAGAGGCAGCCGATCAAGGACTCTCTCGTCATTGATGTTTTTCTCTCTCTCCCTTCCTCTCTCTGAAAGCAATAAAGATATATTTACAAAATGAAAATTAAAAAGTAACTTAATGTTTTACAAAATCTCTTAAGTTCAAAAATTTAGAAGGGAGAGAACAGTAAAAAGTGTATTTCAGGGAGTCGGGCCTCAGGAGGTCAGATTTCTACACCGTCCTGGCCTACTTTCAAGGTGGTGACTTTCACCCCAGAGGCCTGACCCCAGAGTATCTTATCCTATGTTCAGACTTGACTCTGGAGTCAGACTCCTTGCTTTAGAATTGTGGCTCTTCTACTTGCTAGTTAAGTGACTTTGGGGCAATTACTTAACCCTCTCTGTGCTTCAGTCCTTTCATCTGTAAAATGATGGACAAAATAATGATTCCTTTCTTTTACATGCTTGTGAAGGGTAAATGAGATATAACTACCAGGGACAGAGCTTTCTAGAAGAGTGCCTAGCACATAGAAAATATTAAATAAATGTTACCTATTAATATTACCAATATCATTTTCACCTCTCCAGTGCCTAAACTAGATAGTACTGGCATAATAAGAATCCTCTTTTAAAACTGTGAATAGTTCTTAGTGAGTTTAGGGCTATGAGTCATTCACAATTTAAATTTAATGAGACTACTTTCCTCTGACACATAGTGAAGAGCACTTATAGTAATGAAATACGTGGTTTATTTTTTTAAAAATATTATTGATTTTTTACAGAGAGGAAGGGAGAGAAAGAAAGAGAAACATCGATGTGAGAGGGGAACATTGATCAGCTGCCTCCTCTGCAAGCCCCCTACCAGGGATCAAGTGTACAACCTGGGCATGTGCCCTGACCAGGAATTGAACCAGCAACCTTTTTGTGCACTGAATGACACCCAATCAACTGAACCACACTGGCCAGGGCAAAAATATGTTTTGAAAGGGGAAGAGAAATACTAATTCTGAAACACAGATCACTTTGTAGGATAAGGCAGCAGAGGAGGAGAAGGTAGGCTGCCCCTGTAGGTGGATGAGGAACAAGATGATTTCACTCATCCGTTCATTCCTGCCTCAACTGGTTCTTTCTTTAAATAGGACAATTTGGAGATACCAGTTAATAGAATAAAATTACAAATTGCTATAAAAGATATTAGCATTGTCAACAAAAGCGTACCTGTTTATGGGAACATGCAGAGGGAACTTGGCCTTCTACTGCTACTTTCAGAGAGATTCTAGGCACAGTGGATGTTTTTGCAAGATACAGACTTCCTGGCTGTGGAAAAATACGTTGCCTGTGTTTCATTTTTATTCGCATATCCTGTATATCTCTGGCATTCTGAAGATTTACAATTAAATCTATTAAGAAATAATTAGCAAAAAACAATGAGTATAAAATTTAAAAAGCACAACCCTTGCTTTATAAAATTATACATATCAATTAGCTCTAATTTGAAATTTTCAGGCATGAAAAAAGTTTCAACTCCTAAAGAACAGAAATAGATCTATTATTTTTATTTCAGATTTGGAAGAAAATTAGTAGCCTGATAAAAAATATATTCCAGTAATAGCAGTCCTAGATTATGTGTCTAATTACTGTTTTTAAACAAGAAAGTCCACTAGTAGTTACCTTTAAAAGACAATATTAGAATAATTTAAACCTAATCTTTGGACTTGGAAAAATCTAAAGCATTGAAGAAGGTTTTGAAATTATTAATCATCACAAATGGGGGGAACTCCTCAAGGCATTATTTAATTTGAGATGTATCTAACTAAAAGGCAAAATTATGTCAACACAAACTTTCACACAATACCTAAAGATTCTTCTTCACTCTTTGTGGAGATTATAGTTGCTACTTGATTGGAGTTATCTTTGTTACGCTGATGAATTTCAGTGTCATCAATATTATTTTTACTACCACTAGAGCCATGTTCACCTATATTTTTTTGGTTTTGCTTGTTTTCTTCCAAATTAGTACTGTTGCCAAGACACTGATCACGTCTGTGAAAATGTGATTTATTTTTAAAAGGTGGGACAAAAACTTTTATTTGTTTGCCTGTAGTAATCGAGTTTCTCCTTTTTTTATTTCTTGTGGCTGGAATCTTATAAAATGGCTGTCCTGAAACTGATAAACTGCTTGAAGAGTTTTCCAAAGTCAGCTGTTCATAAAAATGAGATTTGGACAGAAATTCTTGACCAGGTTCAGTAAAATTTGGAGTCTGTATTTCTTGCCTTTCTTTAGTTGTGCTACAATGGGGAGAAAACATTTGTTTGATTAGTTACCAGTAAATGTACACATACACACACACATACAAATTATGGAATATGCATTTTTGGGGAGACCCTCACTGCTGCCTGGTGATACTATTCTATTGTTTTGCATTTCATCATGGTTACCGTCCAAAACAATACCACTTTTCAAGTCCATCACAACTTCTCACATATGGGCCCCAGCCTTTGACTTTGCCACCTACTTCCCATAATAGAAGAGTCTGTCAAACACAGATCCTTGTGTCTATCTCGTCCAGGCCTATCTCCTTACTCATCCCTTTAACCAAAGAGCGAGCTATTCATCTTCTCATGGCTAACACCTTCACCTGTACTCCTGACCCCAACTAATAATTCTGTCTTTTCAGGAGCCCCATTCTTTTAGTTATTATTCCACCTCCTTCCTTTCACTTTCTACCACCTGTTGGTACTTCTTTTTAATGCTCCTTTCATTTAGCCAGAAAGCCTTGCCCACTCTTGAAACACTTTTTCCTCAGCCTTGTCTCCCCTTCAAGTTCATACTCATTGTTACCTACCCCTCATGGCCAACCTTCCTAAATAGGTAATCTAAACTAGCTATTTTCACTTCCTCAATTTCTATTCACTGAATTCTCATTTCTCCCAATATTCTATAAAAATTATTCTCAATAAAGTTAATAACCTCCCAAATGCCAAAAAATATTGCTTCATGTGTACTCATCTACTAGACTTCTGGCAGCTGTCACAGTTGATTTTTTACTTCTTAAAATTCTCATCACTAATATCTACACTACCCTTGTCCTTTTGTTTCTCTTTTTTTTTGCTGTTTTTTCTTCTGACTCTTAAAAATATTCCTGTCTCCGAAGTTGGATTTCTTTCCTAGACACTTTCCTGGGCAAGGTGAGTCATAGCCATTGCTTAAATTATCATCTACCTAACAATAAAAATATTAACCTGTATCTCATGCCTGACTTTCCTCTAGGTATTATTTCTACACTTTGAACTGCATAAAGCACCAGACAGCCCAACTCTGATGCTCTACACTCATCTCAAACTCAACATGCCCAAAACTAAATTTATTATCTTCCCTAGCATACGCATTCTTCCTAACATTTGTATCTTGCTGAAAACCCCATATTCCTTTTACCCAACCCTAAACCCCTGGAGCTTGAAGTTACCCCAGAACTAATTTAGTTATCCATCAAATTTTTAATGAGGTCCTACTATTTGCCAGGAACTGTTCTGGCTGGGGGAATAGAGTGAGGAACAAAAGAAAATCACAGAGTTTATATTCTAGTGGAGGGAAACAGACAAATATGTCACATGGTAGTAAATGCTATGGAGATAAACCTTCTGGTAACTGGCATCTGAAAAAGTCTATGCTCACACTTATTTGATATTTTGGTAAGTGACAAGTTCTTGAGTTGAAATCATTTTCTCTTGAAATTTTAAAGGCATTGCTCTGTATTATACATTATAGAATCTATCATCTTCTAGCTTCCATTATTAATGATGAGTGGACTTATACCACATGACTTTTTATTTATTTGTGTATGTATGTATGTATTTAATCCTCACCCAAGGATACTTTTCCATTGCTTTTCAGAGAGGGAAGGGAGAGGGAAAGAGAGACATTGATTGGTTGCCTCCTGCATGTAAATGCCTTTGACCAGAATTGAACCCGAGACCCCTCAGTCTGTGGGCTGACAATCTATCCACTGAGCCAAACCAGCAAGGGCCCATATAACTCTTGAAACTTTGAAACCTAATTTTTTTCTCCTGTGAAAAATTTAAGGTTCCTCTTTGCCCCCCGTGTTCTAAAATTTCACAATGATGCCCTTTATTATGGGTCATTTTATTCATGTGCTCACTCTGAGGACCTATTTATTTATTTATTTATTTCCAAATACATCAGATAGGAGTGAAAGAGAATACTGCTTATCACTGCTGAACTATGTTATCATTATTGTATTGAGGACCTTTTAAGTCAAGGAAACTCCTGTCCTTCAGTACTGATAAATTTTTTGATATTTCTCTCTCTACTTTTCTTATTCCTTCATTCTCAAACTCCAAATTTTCAGACTTTTCTGATTATATTTTCAATCCTTTTTTCATCTCTTTCTCTTTTTGTTCTACATTCTGGGAGTATTCATAACTTTGATCTATTACTCTACTGAATTAACTTATTTGTGCTATCATATTTTTAGTTTCTAAGGGCTCTTTTGTATACATTTTAAGCGTGCAATTATGTTCTCTTTCCTGAGGATAGTAGTAAGTTTTTTTAAAGTTTTCTTCTCCTTACACAGTCTATACTCTCTAAGTCCTTTTTCTCTTTTTTCTTTTGCTTTGTTTATTTTTGTGCTTTGGACACTATCTTTCATAGAGGTGCTCTTCCAATGACAGGTGTTCCTTGATTAGCTGTTCTTATTTCAGAGTGAGGCACTGAAAAGCCCACTGGAAGCTGTGTGCTGCTGGGCTTGTCCATTGTTGACTTCACTGTCTGGTGATCTGGCTACACTGTTTCACGTGAGTACCCACAACTGTCAGTATTTTTAGTTTTTCCTACTGAGCTGGTCATATGTCCCAGAAAAAAATCTTTCAGCCTTCTAACTGGAGGCCTGGCTGCCAGCAATGGAAACCAAGTATTGGAAGGAGGCTAGGGAGTATCACTACTTGATATATAGATTTTTGCTTAATCTCTGTTGTTCAGCACCCTTCCCCCACCCCATCTCCAGTTCAGAATCCCTCAATTCTTCTTTTCCTAAGAATAACCTTCTGGAAAAGGGATAACTGCCTATCTGCAATGGGGGAAGGGCTACAAATGTTTCTTAAACAGATTTTCAATGAATTTTCCTATTTTCTACTTCACCTTCAGAAGTACATGCTGCTGCCAACCTGAGTCTCTCTCATGTTCTTTAGGGGAAATTGAATTGAGTGAGTAGCTTCTCTGCTGACTCTAATGTCAGGTTTTGGCATTCTATGACTTTCTAAGTCTTTCATGCTTTTTGGCTTCCAAAATTTTGTTGTTTCTTCTTATCATTGTCTTTGTGTATTTATACATGAAAAAAAATCTTAGTAATTTTAGTAGGGTTTTAAGAGGAGAGATAAAATATTTTCCATATATTCCATCTTTTTGATAAGTAACTTTGAGTAATTTCTTTACCCCCCTCCAACCCCAGTACCTCATCCATAAAATGGGAATAAAATCTTGTTTGACTACTTTATAAAGTTATGACTCTAAAAAATGAGCTAGTATATGGACAGCACTATAAAGTATGATCCAAGTACACAATGATTTAACCCTGATACAGGCCTTCAAAAGTGAGGGATTAACTTCTATATGCATGTTAGTGCCATTATTTTTAGAAATATTTCTGTAAAATAACCCATAGTTTTCCTACACTGTATTAGAATTTTAAAAAATATAAATGTGTCTTACCAAAAGGGTCCACAGGTAACTGGCTCTAAAGAAATGTGATGCATAAACAATCTTCTATCTTTTATTGTACCTAGAAAAATATTATTTTACATTGTTTCAGTGAAAATGCACTTTATATTAGGTACTGATGAAAGTCTAATAGGAGATTTTATTTCCTATGTCTATTTATTATACATTATTATAAATATTTACACATAAAATTGGATATAATTATAGACTTCAACATTTTCAGTGCATATAATGGATGCTCAGTAAACAACTATCAAAAGAAATATTTGATTCATACACTGATGACTATATTCCAGATAACTCACAGTACAAACATATAAATCAGTATAAATTTAGTCAGCCAATGTTAATCATAACTCAAAGGTGTTAGCTTATTGTCAATGCAAATGTTAAATTTAAGATTTAGTGTTATAAGGGTTTAGAAACTAAACTTTAAATATTATTTATTCTCAATATGTGACTTGTACTTCTTATACCTCTAACTAATCCACAGGAAGGGGAGTAGTCGAAAAAACTAGAATACATTGATAGAGCCATGTGATCAAGTACTACGCAATTATAAAAGAATGAGGAAGATCTCTACATACTCATCAGGAGTGATGTCCAGATATGTTCTAAAGTAAACAACACCAATAAAGAAGGCATAAATTAGTGTATAATATACTGATACCCTGTGAATAAGAAAGAAGGGTAATGAGTGTGTCTGTGTGTGTATATAAAATTTGAAACTATTATGTATATACTGTAAGACAGTGGATTTCAAAGGGTGATCCCTGGGGGAGCAGTACCCACAACTCTATTAGGGAATCCAAGCTGTCAAAGCTATCTTAATAATAATAATAATAATAATAATAATAATAATAATAATAATAAAGCCATATATGTCTTTTTCACTGTGTTGACATTTGCATTGTTGGTGTGTCACATTGTAGACTTCAGTGCGAAGACTATCTCAAGGAAATAAACTTATGTGACTTTTTCACACAGTTCCATTGTTACTTAAAAGACTAACCAAAAAACTAGTTATTTAGGCTTGGATATTTAGCAGATATTTTCTGAAATGAATGAGTTTGTCACCACAAGGAAAACAAGTGGCAGTATTTGCTGCCAGTGGTAAAATGTAAGCTTCTAAACAAAAATTAGAATTTTGGAAAGCTTTTATCTGGCTCTGTTAGCCTAACAGCTTCCAAATACTTAAAACTTTTCACATTAGATCAGTGGTGACAAAAAAAAATTGTTTAATATTGTATAAAAAATATGCCAATATTTGGAAGAGCTGCATAACTAAGTGAACTAATATTTTCAAAATGATCAATACACAATGGTACAAATATTAAAATTTTTCAGTTTTAATTTCTAATATGGTAAATACAAATAAATGTAATCCACATACACAGATGTTCTTTGGGATCCTCAGTAATTTTTAAGAGTATTAAAAGGCCTTCAGACCAAAAAGTTTGAGAACCACTGCTGCAGGATAACTAACTATGATACTGTTATTAGGGACCAAGAAAGGATCACTGGAGAAATGGTGATTCTAGGAGTAGGGTAGGGAATTACAAGGACACCCTAGGAAATCCTTTTATGATAATAAAAAGCACAAAAGTGCTCAAAGGTTAATCAAGGAATGTTAAAAAAATACATAAACAAACCCTTGTGAGATACTTTATCAAAAGAATGTTTTCTTTTTGTGAAAATGTACATTATATATATGTTACTTTTAAACTTTATACATGCATTATAAATAAAAATCTAAGAAATCAATTTTATTCAACAGAGAAAAAAATTCACTTTCTACCATTAGCAGTGATTATTATGCCAACTACTTCTTACTCTGAAAACATGGTTAATTAGGAAAGGAATTAAGCTTTTACCCAGCCTTTTTAGGAAGAACTATAGTTCATCCCCAGTTGTTAAAGGAAAGTTCTTCCTTGCTGAAGAATCCCAGCTACTAAATGTATAAGGAATAACATAATTTAAAAAACACTATTTTCCAACCTTTAATTAAATAATTGATTCAAGTAAATATTATCAATGGATGTTAAAATTGTGAGTGCAAGACTGACTGGCAAAATGGATATTCTCACAGTACCAAAGGATCATTCCACAGATTACTTGCTAATTGCAAATGGGAAAATACACCTTTTTAATGAAGTGATCTGGTGGTTAGCATCTTAACCAAGTGATCAAATCATCTGACACAGTGTGCCCCTGATGCAAACGTGTACACTGAACTTCTATGAGGCATTCTTGCCAAAAATGCATAACCTAATCCTAATTAAGTCTTTGATCCAAACAGGGAATAGAACAAAAAGTTAAATGATACTACAAGGAAAACAACAAATCCAGAATGTGGGACAGTCTATAAAACAACTGGCATGGTCATTTAAAAGTGCTACTGTCACCTGGCTGGGTGTGGCTCAGCAGTTTAGCATTGACCTAGAGTCCAGGTGATAGGGGTTAGATTCCCAGTCAGGGCACATGCCTGGGTTGCAGGTTCAATCCCTAGTAGGGGGCGTGCAGGAGGCAGCCGATCAATGACTCTCTCATCATTGATGTTTCTATCTCTCTCTCCCTCTCTGAAATCAATAAAAAGATATTTTTTTTAAAAAAAGTGCTACTGTCATAAAAAATAAAATAACTATAAAAAAGGTAAGAAGACTACTGTAGATTAGATTATATCAGATATTAGGCAACTTCCTTTGGTGATAATGGCTCTGTGGTTATACTATTATGAAACTAACACTCAAATGTTTTAGCAAAAACATATCCCCATAGATCTATTACTATTATGTCCGCATATTATATGTAATTAGATAAAACAAACAGCAAAATAGTAATAGTGTTGAATATAGGTGGTAGCTAAATAGGTATACTCTCAACTTTTTTGTGTATAAAAATGTTCATAATAAAAAATTAGAAGGAAAAGAATCATTTACTGGAAAATTGTGAATGATCATGCTGAGAAAAAAATCATTTAAAAAAATAAAAAATAAGATGTGATCAAATAAATACTGAATATATACTGGCTTAGGATAATCCCAAAAAAGGTTATGATCCTATTTTATGCAATAGGATCACTGTTAGAATTACATACATGTTCTTCCATTTACTTCTCATAGGACTCTGCAAAACCAATGGTTTTAGGAGGACAAGATTTTTCTACATGCATACTATCTAACACCATTCTTTTAATACCTAGAGAATAGAAAGAAGTCACATCTCACACAGGTTCTAAAGACAATTTATCATGTAATAATTCAGTATGGTGAAAATTATCCTAGAAATGATTTATACTTCTCATAAAGAATAGTAACCATGGTTTTTGTTTTCAACTCTGTTCAGAATTCTTGTGCAGACTAAAGTTTGAGAACCATTAAGTCAGGAGAAAGAAAAGAACAACAGAAATAATACAGTTTTCTCGACATTCAAAATAGTCTGTTTTTAAGATAACTTTCACATCTCAATCATTAAATAAGGCATGCGTTAGAATATTCCAAAGTATTCCTGCCTCTTGTGGGATTTATCCCAGGTGTTTCAGAACTAAGACTCCACATTTCTCCCTCACTATCTCAGTTCTTCCTTTCCAAACCAGGAACCAAGTATATAGTGAGCAATAGTTATATATGTTTTCAAGCATTTCATGGTAAGAACTTCAAACTTCAGTCTAAATGAGACAGGAAGCAACGAAGAGTTTTAAGCAGTCAAGTGATAGGATCTGACCTCTGGCTATTTTGTGTTGCAAATAGCCTGGAGGAAGGGAAATCGCAAAAACAGAGAGATGGGTTAGAAGCCATGACAGTGGCTTGGATAAATGTTGTAGGGGTAGAGGTGAGAAGAAATGATCAGATTCTTGTTATATTTTGAAGGCAGAAGCTATAGGACTTGTTAATGGGTTCAGTGTGAAGTATGAGGAAACGGGTAAAGGATGATATCAAGGCTTTGATGTGATCAGCTGGCAGAATGGCAGTAAGAAAGGAAAGACAGAGAAAGAGCAGGTCTGGGGCAGGGATGGAATCAGGGGTTCAACACTGGTCACATAAACTGAGATGCCTATTAGCAATACGAGTAGAAAAGTGACAAATTGGCAAATGAATAAATAAGTCTGCAGTTACAGGACAAGCTAAAGATTGCAGATATAATTTTTGTAGTCACTGAAGTTTAGGCAGAGGAGAGATCTAAGGATAGAATCCTGGGGCGTGCCTGTTAAGAGTAAGGAAAGAATAGGGAAGAACCAACAAAAACTACTGAGAAGGAGTGGCCATGTAAGAAGAGAACCAAGAGAGTGGTGGTCGCAGAAGTGACCAGCTATGTTGAATACGGCTGAAAGATGGAGTCAAATGAAGACACAGTGCCTGCTAGATTTGCCAACAGAGACCACAATATAACTTGGGAAAGTGATTTTGGTGGAATGGTGAGGGCCAAAAGCTTGACCAAATTCCAGAATCTAAGCTTTACACTTTTAGACTAAATTCTTACAAAATTTTTATAGCATTTTTTATTTAGAAAGTCATTCTTTATAATCATTGCACATTTCCCAATTATGGAGAACCTCTGCTTCATACCAGGTATTATGACGGAAAAGCTCAAATAAATAAGGCAAGATAAAAATTGTAAGGTCTTGTCCAATTATCTATACAAGCAAAAGAGCTGAAAAAATAACTATAAGAATATTATGAATAGTACCTATAGAGAGGGGAAATATGAATAAAAAGCAAATTTTACCATCTGGAGTGATTTTCGAAGCCTTTAAGGATTTTTCTTGATTTTCTATTATCCTGTCAAATTCATTTAACAAGTTTCTTTTGATTGGGGGCTCTCCTAAAAAAAATTTCCATACAGGTTTTTAAAATCAAATAATAAAAAAGCTTACAGTCCATTTTTTAAAATGAAGGTACTGATTCTAACAATATGTTGAGCAAAAAATACAATTATAATTTAAATAGCGACCATTCTATTTTGAAGGAGAATATTCATTTTTCAATATCAGTTTAATTTCTATTACTTTGACCATTTAAAATACCACTACTTAATTGGGTCTAGGGATAAACAGACATTACCAAATACCACAGATGAGCTACTTTTTAATAAACTAGCACTGAATGTGCTGCTAGGTTTACTGGCAATAAGGACAAATAAAATTTCTTCAAATAAACTTTTTTTCTGCATTAAATTCAAGAGGAATTTATCATATAGGTCACTGAATTAGAGTCGGTGAGTAGGAGAAAAGATTTTTTAAATTACCAAAATTACATTAAAATATTAGAAGTAATACTTATTTAAAAATTTTACAAAGGCTGAGAGTAAAATTAAACCATGATTCTAGATATGCATTTCCATGTCATACTGATATGTGATAACATTTACTTTGCTTTCTGATGCTTTATTAAAGGGAATGAATTTGTAGCATTTAATAAGTAAAAATATCCATGCAAGGCTTTACCAAGTGTTAGATTATAATGTGATTTAATTGTTCAATAGGGATCTGTATTAGTCAAGTAACCAGAAGCTGATTAAGCTGTATTAATTTACATATAAATATATAACAGAGGTGAGAGAAATTAAACAGTGATGCTGCTGAGAACACTTATTAAAAGTTGTTTTTTCCTGAGCAGAAGTATACACATGAACAAAATGGGTTTCTATAAATAAAGCCATAATTTTCCATTAAAGAATTATGAGTGTCTTTAAGCATCTGCATCTTAGCATTTTGCACTAGACAAGAGCAATAGTTCAAGGTAAGTATTATAAACTTGACACTCTGTCCAAAACATAAACTTGGTATAGAAGGAGGCCTGGGTAACACTTGATAAAGTAAATCTGTATCCACCAGGATAACTTAGGGTCAAAAGGCACCAAGGGGAAGAATGAACTGACTGGCTTCAGTGTCGTTCTCTGTATGAAGAAGACTTGTGCTAACTATTCTGAGTCTGTAGTTTTTTTTTAAAAGGAGCTAGTTATTAAAGATCAACCACTTAAAATGATCAAGAGATTCAATTAATTAATATTATTCCTAGTCAGAGATACTAATAGGAAAAAAAATCACATCTAATTATTCTAGTAGTTAAACGAAGTTGTTAGATATATATTTAAAGAGAAATTAGAATATAGTACAAATGGCCAAAATACTATCTGCGAACTGATTTGGGAACACTTCCTAGATTAAAAAAAAAAAAAAGCAAGCCAATACCTTTAACAAGAAACCAATTTTCTTCCCCCCACTGTGCAACCTACTTCAATGCCTGCACCCTAATGGGCAAAGGCTAGGCAATGGTTTGAGGTCAATTTGCTCTAGCATGGGGCACTATGACAGACTCAGGGGAGTGGGCCTGCAAACCAATCTTTTAAGAATAGCCAGAGTCTGAACCTCTGCTATCTCTATTTATACATATGAAAACAGTTAATAAGTTATATTACACAGGCCATTATAATATGAAGATAAAGGGTTTCAACTTTTCTAGAGAAAGTGAAATTTTAACAGTAATTTCTCAATTATAACTATATTAATAATCTCTAAAAATATATTAAGAACCTCAAAACATAATTCCTTGGTACACAGACTCAGAGATATCAAGAGTGAAGTCACATTTCCCCCAACACATAAAAGACTGGAAAAACATGCGTAGTGTATAATACCCTAATTGCTATAAACTAGCACATCAGGATTACTAAGGACTTAATTTTAACCCTTTGCGGTCGTTTGTCTACTCTCAGCCACCAAAGCTTTTTTACCGTTCCCGTCATATGTCTGCTCTCAGCCACCACAGCAAGGAACCGTACAAATCTTAACTCTATTCATTCATGTATCAGTTCATAATTTCTCTGAAAGCTCTTAAGTGTCTAAGCGACCTTGTCAAGAACCAAAACACTGCCCCGACAAATCGGAGATATCGAAACTCAATATAAACAAACGCAGTCATTCCACACTCGCCATACAAAACATTGTGGTGAGTCAGTCGCCTTTTGAGAGTGAAGAAATCGACAAGCTTTGGAGATACTTCGCAGAATTTCAAATAAAGCTTTACAAATTACGTTTAACTGTAATTAGGCATTCTCGCTTGTTAAGATATTTCAAAATAATACTCCAAAATGGCAAAAAGAAAGTTACCGAAAGAAGTGTACTGCAAATCTGAAAGTAAAGATGAAGAGTTTTATTTTGGCACCTTGAATACTGACTCTGACATAGAAAGTGATAACGTTTGTAGTGATTCTACTAGTAGTGACGTAATTCCAGTGAATCGACGACTAAGGCAATTAGTAATATCCAGCGACAGTGAAGCAGAAGAAAATGATAAAAATGAGAACAGTAATATAAACGAATTTACTACTTGGAGAGACGTTATGCACCGAGATCAGCCACAATCAAAAATTCGATCAGGTGATATTTTATTATTAGCATGAAAAGATAAGAGAATAGTCACCATACTAAGCAGTTATGATATCTTGGGCACGACAACTATAGACAGAAGGGTGAAACAAGGTGGCACCATCAACATTAGCAAACCGAATGTTATTATAAATTACCATATGAATATGGGAGGCGTCGACAAAGCTGACCAATTAGCAAGTTCATACTGTTTTATGAGAAAATCTTGCAAATGGTGGAGAAAGATTTTTTTCTGGGGATTAGAGATCTGTGCAATAAATAGCTACATCTTATATAAGATGTCAGCTAGAAAAAGAAAACAGGACGCCTATGTCACATTTTATGTTTGTTCGAAAATTGGTCAAACAACTTGTAGGTGATTTTCATGAAGGAGCATCTTCAAAACCAGGAAGGCCATCGGCCTCAGATAAAGATGAAAGGCTTAATGGGAAACTGCATATATTGCGGCACTGTGAAGGTGTGAAAAGTAAAGATTGCTCTGTATGTTCGAACAGAAAGATTAGGGGCGGAAGATGCCAAACTAATTATTTTTGCGATACATGTAGTCGAAAACCAGGACTGCATATTGGAGACTGCTTTCAAAGATACCACACAATGGAGAAATATAAAACATAATTTTTACATAAAAACATGTTATTGAAACACATTATTGTCTAAACATACATCTAATGTTCAAAAAAGAATTAATAAATCTTGTTTATCCTTCATAATCTTGCATGTTATGTATCACTGCTTTCAATGGAAATTAATTCCAACCAGTACGACACCCATGTCCAAATTTAATACCACCGCAAAGGGTTAAAAGTGATTGGCAAACCAAAAGGAAAAAACAGACACTTACCAATCAAGACAAGTGCATCTCCTCTTCTTTTTCCAATTCTTGAATTTAACAAAGCCGTTTCCTCATTTTGGCAGGTAAGAAGAAAGTGTTCAGGATGACTTAGCAGTTCAGAATCTGTCAGATCACCATCTTCCATAAAAGCTCTGGCAATTTCTACTGCTTCTGTTTCAAAACAGTTTTCTGGATCTTTGGAACAAATTTCTTTACTAGTTGTCATGGGAAGATTAGGAAAAGTTTCAGGTTTCACATTTTCCATTTTTATATTTTTAGGTAAAGCTTGTTCTTTTCCTAAAAGATGGCTGTTCTCAACAAGCGATAATTTGCTTCCTAATACCACTGGTTGTTGGTACTGCTTAAACTGAGAGAGACATGGAGAAGTTTCAAGAGAGTGAGTATTTTCTGAAGAATCACTATTAGAGTTACAGTTATGTGATAATTTAAATTCTTTATTGCATGCTTTTTCCATTTTACAGTTTGCAGAGTGTTCTGGGGTTCTCTTATCGATACAGGAGAGAGGAGACAGTTTTGACACATCTTGTCCAGATGTAGGTAAATGCTGAAGACCACATTCTGTTCTGAGTGAATCAAAGTCCTCTAACATCCCCTTAACTTTGTTTAAGGCACTCTCTGAAACAGGAACCTGTTTTCCACTTGCTGTACTAAATCCAGAGAAAGCAGGTGATGGTAAATTTTGGGGGTTATGTATCATAGTATTTTTTTCTCTTGTGACCTTGTCTGAATATTCTTCATTAGGGTCAAAGGCTACTTTGGAAAAGAGCTGCTCAGGACTCTCTTCCAGCTTAGAAAAGACCCGTCTGGTCTTCTGTAAGGCAGCATCTGACACTTGTACACATTTCCCACTTGCCATGCTAAAAATCCCACAAGCATTAGAGACCGTATTAAATCTACATGTATCAGAAGCTTTCAAATTACCCTGACAAGATAACATTTCAGAAACTGTCTCTGATCTAGATATACTTTGGCTATGCTGTAGAATTTTTTCACCCTGAATGTCAGCAAAAGCCTTACATGAAAGCATGCTATGCTCTTCACTATCCACAGAGTTAGGAAAAATGAAATCCTCCGAATCACCCACCACCTCACGATAACCTGCCACAGTTTTTGTGTGGCCAGTGCCTGATTTACTCTCAGTGTTTATCCTAATGACCTTATTGCAGTTGTCTGCAAATATCTCTCTCTCCTTCATTCCATGTGAAACAAAGGCCATTTGACCACTTACTATACTGAATGCAGGAGACCGTATCTCAAAATTATTTGAATCAGATACGGCCACTTCAGTATCTGTGCTTTTATTTTTGTATGGTGAAGAGTTAGTCACAAATTTCTGGACACAAACACCTTCATTTACAGTTTCCTGGTATGTGTTTGCTTCTCTTATGGTGGCTATTACTTCAGGAAAACTAGTGTTTTTTCTGTCTTTGACATTCTTGACTATTGGCTCAATACCAGATTCCTCCATTTTATTTTTTGAGAGAGATTCTGATTTATTATATATGTCATTGGTATGACAAAAATCAGGGTGATCTGAATAGCTATTAGACATGCAACTGTTACTTAAATAAGTTGAATCTTGTTCTTCAGAGGTAAGATTTTTGTCATTTTCAGTTATGATACTGTTTGAGTGATTTCCACATGAAGGATTTTCTACATAATTCTCAGGATAGTCTTTTAAACATATAACATTGGCAGCATTTATTTTTTCTGGCTGATCATCCAATTCTCCTTCAAGTAGTGAAGCCTGACTCACCGAAAGTTTTCTACCATGTCCTGTGAAAAATGCTACAGCAGAATTTTTAATGGCTGAACAAGTGGACTGATTTATGCAACAAGTTGTAGGACTTTGTGCTGTTTCTATGTTTTGAATTTTCAGAGTGATACTATCTGATATTTTGAAAATTTCAGTTTGTCTGTATAAATGATCACTTAAGAGCCTAGGTGGCATGGCAAACTCATTAGAAGCAAGTTTTTTCTCCTTTAGAGAACTATGCATTTCTTCATACTTTGGGGCAGGTGTTATTTCAACAGTCTCACATCCTAATTCAAGCCCTTCTTTACATTCTTCTCTGTCCTTTAGCATCTTTGACTTTCGATGGCTATAATTAGTGGTTTCACTATTTTTATCTTGCTTTTTTTCATCAAAAAGATTTTTCACTTTGTCCAGATATTCCTTTGCAATTTTTACCTTTTTCCCACTAGCTGTATGAAAACCCAACATGGTAGGTTCTTTGATTTTTTTGATTTCATATTCTGGTCGTGGTTGGAGAGTTAATAATTGATTTTCAACACCAAATGAGTCACTTTCTTTCAATGTTTTGTCTTTAACCATATCTGTGTCCTCATAACTTGAAATATCTATTCTGTTGACATTTATTCCAGAAAGTAACTCAGAATTCAAGGTATCTGAAAAGTTATTAAATTCTTCTGCACATTTCTGATCAAAGAAATTTACAGCTTTATTTAATGAATCTTTGGAGACTCTGATATTTTTCCCACTTGCAGTCTGAAAGGATACATCAAAAACGTCAAAATCTTTTATGTTTTGTCCCATCTTATTAGCAGTTAACTGTTTATTTGATGTATGAACATGACATATTTCTTCAGCTTTCACAACTTCCAAGCAAGTTAAATCTGACACACCTTCTTTGACTTGAGTGTTTCCCCCCTTCACAAACTGGTCAGATGATTTTACATGTATGTTGTGCTGATCAAAAATACATGGCAAACCATTTTCATCTTTATGAACTAAAACTGTATCATTTTCACTTGAATCATTGCCATCAGATTCTCCTAAGTCACAAATATTTCTACTAGCACCAATGTATTTATCATTTTCTGTGTTTTTCTTTTGATCTTCAGTATTTTCTTCAACAAAGATGCCAGCAGTCATCTCAATATTATTTTGTTGTATTAGTTGGCATTTATTATTTTCATTAAAATTTTTATCATTGCTATAATTTTCCACCTTAAACACTGAAACAACAGAATCATTACATTTACTTGAAGAGAAACTTCTTGGGCCTACTTCTGCAAAAGTTTCCTCACTAATATTCTCAATGTCACTGAACAGCCGCACAGCTTTTTGCAGTGCTTCACTGGAAACATTCAGTTTTGTGCCATTTGCAGAGTAAAAGCCTCTAAACTCCACTTCATTTTTATCTGTTAAATACCCAGAAGCACTTTTGTTATAGTTGGTTTTCAAAGAGGAAGCAAACTTTTGCTTACCTTCAAACTTCTTGCTGCTATCAACCTGACCGATAGCTGGGGGATTAATTGTGAAAGGAGGATCAACATCTTTCCATTCCTCAGAAATGGTATGCAAAACAGTCACCTGGTTTTCAGGCATTTCAAGTGGATTATTCTGCATCTTGTGGCTTGGTTTTCTAAACTGCGTAAATTCAAACTGACTTCCTGATTCTTCCAATATAGTAGAAAGTTCTGTGATTTCTGCCTTTTGGCTAGGTGTTAAGTTATGGTTTGAGTTAAAATCTAGTTTCAAAGGCAAAGTTGGAGTTGTGTGACTATTTTCACTGTCAGAAGCATGTGCACTACTCTGCGCACACCCAAATACAATATCAGTTGACTGTGAATCAAGTGTGTGAGGTTTGCTTAGTTTCTTTTGATTTTCTAACAGTGAGGTATTTATAATTTCAACACATGCTAAGCTAGTAGAAAAATGTTCTTCAATATCTTTGAAGAACACTTTACTTTTCTTAACGGTGTGTTCAGAGAGTTTTATCTCTTTATTAGAAGCTGTTCTGAAGCCATGTTCAAAATTGTGATTTGAAACGGGATCTGAGAGTTCTGCCCACATGTCCATATAATCATAGTTTTGGTTTGATTTCTCATCTATGTCCAAGGGTATGTCTGACTTTGAATCTTCACCTAGAGTCATTGGCTGCATTACATTCTTTCTGTTCTTCTCTGTAAGATCATGGACTACATTTGATGAATCAAAATCTTTTGTAATTGAAACTTTGGCTGCTTGTTTGTCATCAGTTCCTGTATCTACTACCATGGTAGACTTCTGAAGAATAGGTTCTCTGACACAACTGAGGTCTGCCTCTTGAAGTTTCTCATTATTTTCTAAAAAAGGAATATTCCATTCATCAGTTATTTCAAAGACAAAATCATTCTCATTTTCTTGGAAAAGTTCTTCAGAGTTTGAATTGATAGTTATTTTTGAAATTGAAGTGGTCTTTTCTTGATCTTTTTGGGTTACTGTGAGATTTGTAGTTTGATTGAATTGTATCTTAACAGAAGGTGATGCTACTCTTATGTATGTTTCAGGTGACAACATCTCCATTTTTTTAGAATTTTCATTTGAAACAAATATTTCTTGATTCTTTTCCATGGGAATATTTTTGGTTACACCAAAACCAGCTTCACAATTCTTACATTTTACTTTCTCTGACATTTTATATGATTCTTTTCCTCTAGAAATCAATACTGGGTTTGATGGAGGATCCTTAGAGCTAGGAGTTAAAATGCTGGTATTATCGCGGTCATATAAAACACTTTCCTGGGATTGAAAGTGAATACCATTACATTCCATTTCTGAATGTGGCATTGCAGGGTGATATACTGCAGACAAGACCTTTTCTTTTATATCTAAAACTCTTTGGTGTTCTGGATCTTCTTCACAATATTTTTCCTGCAAGCATGACAGATCATCAGTTTCTGTGGTTATAAGTGACTGCAGTTTTTCTTTATTAATTTTTGTTTCTTTATAATCAGGATCCTGAAATATTATTTTATTATTAGGAGAACTGCTTTCATGATTAGAACATTTTCTCAGAATTCTCCTAAAAGTGCTAGTTAAAGACAAAGTTGGTTCTTCAGAATCATTCTGCAAACAGTTTTTTTTCACAGGAGAGTGCAATAAACCTATGCATAAAGAGACAAAGTAACAAAAAATTAAAGTACCATCAATCACATTCAATAAATATTTTCTACAAAGTTAAAAAGGTAGTATCTAAAACAAGAAATACATGAAAAACAAAAAATGAATGCCAGGTTTAAAACATAAAGAATTATAAATATTCTGTATTTTGAAGTTACTATGTTTTTCAACTAAAGATAAATAGAACCTACTAATTTTTGTAATATATATACACTCAATCAAAATTAGTACATAGTTCCAAAAAGCAGGTAGCTGTCACAAGTAAAATTCAAAGTAATTTTATTGGAAAATAAAATTGTAAAAAACCTCATTGTTAATACTGGTGTAAGATGGAAAAAAAAGGCAAAGGAAAGGAATTAGGAAAGTAACCTTTTCCTTCAGTTAATTAATTCAGTCTTTCATATTGAAAAAAACATACAAAAAGTCAATTTTTAATTTTTTGTTAATCCTTACCAGAGGATATTTTTTCCACTGCTCTTCAGAAAGAGTAGAAGGAAAGGGAGGAAGGGGGGGGGAGGGAAAGGGAAACATCGATGTGAGAGAGACACATCAACTGGTTGCTACTGGCTGCCTACCAATGCCAATGATGACTGGGGGTGGGGAAGGAAACCCGTAACCAAGATACGTGCCCTTGATCAGAACTGAACCTGCAACCCTTTGGTGCAAGGGCTGACACTAACAACTGAGCCACACTGGCCAGAACAAAAAAGTAAATTTTTTTTCTCATCCTCATGTGAGGATATTTTTCCCATTGCTTTTCAGAGAGAGTGAAAGGGAGAGAGGGAGAGAGAGAAACATCGATGTGAAAGAGACACATTAATTGGCTGCCTCCCATGTGTCCCTCGACCAGGGTCGGGGATCAAGCCTGCAACCGAGGTACGTGCCCTTGGGTGGAATTGAACCCGGGACCCTACAGTCCACAGGCCGATGCTCTAACCACTGAGCCAAACCAGCCAGGGCCACAAAGTCAATTTTTAAAACCATGTTCTACATACGAAGGGCCTGAAAGATGACGTAGTCTCAATTATAAAGGCAAATGAGTTAAACTGCTCTATTCAGTTAATTTTAAAGGCTCTCTCGATTTCCTATTAACAGGTCAAAATTATTAATCTCATTTCCTTTTATCAGTGACCACTAATAATATATTAGCTGTTTTATTGGTTTTAACTCATATATATAGCATTAAATGTTTTTTCTTAATATTAATCCAAATTTCAAAAAAGTTCCAGTTCTACCAAGCCTATTATTTACTGAGATACCCCAATCCACTAAAATCTTCTCATAGGGAACTAAAACCACCTTTTAAACAGAATTTAGCTACTGATTAAATGAACTGTACCTGAAATAAAAAACTAGTTTCACTGTACACACTCTGAATGCACAGGACTCTCAGCAATCTCTAAACACTTAAGAAAATTATGTAACAACAAAAAATCACTACTTTATTAAACTTAGCTAGCAATGAGGTTTTCTCCCATTTTTTACTTCCTTTAGTGAAAAATGCATAATAAGCAGCACAAGATAATTACAGAATTGTCCAATTTGCATATAATAAACACTGGAAATTAAAGCAGAAATTATGTAGCTGACCTCTTGGTGCCTATAAATCACATGCTCTGTCTCAATAGTGATGATTACAGACATATCATGCAAACTGATCCAACAAGTTTGATGAAATGGTTTTGAACATTGGTAATCAAAGGCCTAAACAATGTTTAAGATAGAAAATTGTAACTGATAAAAATTTCAATGAAAAAAAAAATATGTTGACATTGTCTGATATTGAATACAGTTGACCCTTGAACAACATGGATTTGAACTGAGCAGGTCCACTTGCATGAGAATTTTTTCTCAATAAACATACAGTTGGTCCTCTGTATCCCTGGGTTTTGTATCTGCAGCTAAAACAGACCACGGATGAAAAACAGTATTTTCCATTTGTGGTTCTACACCATTTTACATAAGGGACTTGAGCATGAGGATTTTGGTATCCTGGAACTAGCCCCCTGCCGATACCAAAGGATGACTGAGTTTTGGGGAAGTCAAAAGTTATACTTGAATTTCCAACTGTGTGGGGATTGGCACCTCTAACCTCCTCTGTGTTGTTCAAGGGTCAACTGTACAAGATATAGAGATTTTTAAAAAACAAAAAATTACATAAGGAAAGCAGGCAGTATGCTTTTTAAAAAGATTAAAGAGCCCTGGCCACTGTGGCTCAATTGGTCAACCCATACACTGAAAGGTGGCAGGTTCGATTACTAGTCAGGGCACATACACAGGTTGCAGGTTCGATCCCCTGTCAGGTGCATATGGGAGACAACCAATCGATGTTTCTCTCTCACATGGATGTTTCTCTCTCTCCCCCTTCCTCTCTCTCTAATATCATTAATAACATATCCTCAAGTAAGGATTAAAAAAAAGATTAAACAGATTCACATATTCAAATAAGAGAACTCGTCACTATCCATAGAGCTGTATGTATTATTCACACAGACACACACAAAGGTACCTGAATCAGCATTTCTAACTGTAGATGGTGCTTCAAAAGTGTTTGCTTCAAATTGGGTAGAACAGTTAGTCAGTCCAGATTCTTGATCTTTCTGCATTTTTAGTCCTTGGTAAGATGTTTCATCATTTATAGCATATATAAACTTTTTAGTTTTCTTTCTCAAAGTGGATATTAAACCTGTTTTCTTCAAAGCTACAGAAGTATGTTTGATAGTGACTGGATGGCTTCCATTATCAACTGAACTTGTACATAAAGAACTCTCTTTCTGGGAGAAAATAGTACTAATTTCCAATCTATTTTCAGAGGATTCAGATTCTTCTTTAAAGTTTGGAACAGTCATATTTTTTGAGAAAACTGCACTGGGTGTCTCTTCAGGTGATTCTCTTATCCTGAATGGAGACTTTTTGATATCCTGATGAGGAGAAGCTATTAGCAAAGTTTCAGATACTGTGTGCTTTACCACAAGAGTGGAATTTTCATGAGATCCAAGACACTGTCCTTCGTCTCTCTTATTCACCACTGTTTCCTCCTTTAGTATCTTCTCTGTCTTTGAGTTGGTACATTCTTTCTCTGTGCCTATGAGGTCTTTTTCAGAATTATTCTGGTCACAAGAAGAAATATGCTGTAGGGGCATTTTCCCCATTTGGGCTCCATTTAAACTTGAGAGGGTTAGCTGAGACCATTCGAAGGCAGGAGACTGTACAGCTTCCTCAGAGATTCTGTCACTTCCATTCCAAAAGGTCTTCTGAATCGTTATTTTTGAAACTAATGGATCACTGTCATCTGGTTCCATTTCAGAAACAAATGAATGTTTATTTTCTTTCATTTGTTTTTTAGGTTCTTCACAGGTATCAGTTTTTGTTTCATTGAAAGTATTTTTCCTAGTCTTGCCAGTTTTTATTTTTTGTAGACTTCTTTTTTTATATTTAGAAACATATAATGAAAAACTATCTTCTTCAGAAATACTTCCAACCTTTTCGTGTACTTCACCTTCTGGGACATTTGGCACTGACTTTCCAAAATAGTCTTTGCAGCTACTTACTTTACCAAATGCATTCCCCAATCCTGTTAAAACTTAAAACAGAAGCATATTAATAAATTTTATAATACAACTATATAATTTATATGACTCTTACAACCTTTTTCATAGAAACAGTATGTACTAAATAACACATAATTCAATCTTTAAAGGGTTATCCTGAATACTTGCTATTTGGGGTGGG